CATTTGCATCCTCATTTTTCACACCTGCCAAAGTGCTCTGCTGCTCTAAACATGTCTGAATACTTCTATCGGTCACAGTTCTTTCTTCCAGGGCCTGTCTGAGTTTGAGCCTGTGGTTTATTTGTCTTAATCACTCAGAGGAACAAAGAGCAAAGGCGGCTTAGTACAATCATATTAAGCAGCCAGGAAAGCAAACTCCAATCAGAGGTTAGAATGTCTCATTTTTGGTCTGTCTCTATTCTGACAAGTCCAATAACAGTCAGTGCATAATCTGATCAATAAAGAGAGAGAGATAGTACAAAGGACATTGTCTTTCAAATTCACAGGAGAGGCAAAAAACAATCACACTTTGAGCAGAGTTAAGTTTGTCCTAAAAGCTGAAAGCAAAACATATAAACAGCATACAGTCATACAGGTATATTGTAACTAAACAGGGTAGGAAATTGAAAAAAAAAGTTTTATATTTGAGAAACAACACACATTGTAGAGCAATGTTAATGTAACATAAAAACACAATTTGATCAAGTTGCAGCTGCAGTTCTTCTGTTTCTTGACACCAAAACAAAAATTACAAGTACATCTAATTTGTTTGACTCTTTGCTATTCTGACTGTAAACTTATACTTGCTGTACCAGGACATATTCCTTAAAATGCTTAGGAGGCAATCATACTTTGTCTTTAATGCTTGTCTTTCAAGCTTTTTCTTTGGTTGAAATCCTAACTAGAATTACCACCCAATGTTCCTCTATAAAATGAAATGTAAGCTAAGTAATATAGTCATTTTTATTCAAATATAGATGGGGGTGAGTAGTTTTAGTGTGCCATGGCCAGTAAATGAATTTAATACTTCTGCTTTGTCATTTGATTCGTAATGCATATCACACAATGCAACACTGTTTTCACTATCAGTGAGGCCTCAGCCTTTTTCTCTGCCCTGTCTGTCTTTTACATTTGGGGGCTTAATGGACTGGTGAAACTGCAGAGAAAGCAGTACATCTTGTAATATATGATGGCTGAGTGGTTAATAACACACCTCAGTGACCAGGGTCTGCTTGGCATTTCATTATTTTAGCTCAAGAAGTTGACAATTCCTCTGATTCTTGTAAAAAAACAGTTTATTTATTGGTCTTATGAAACATGTTGTGAGTGAAATGTCACCAGGAATGGGAATTGCATTAAAAACAGAGCCTTATGTTGGCGGCCTTTTAACCACTCCACATTGGAAACTGTTTTGCACTATAGCACAAACTTTCTTACCCAGCCAAAAATAATGTATTCAGGGTAATATGACCAAGTAGTTAAAACAAACAAACAAACAAACAAAAAACATGGCTGTAAGTTTTAAACACGCTTTATTACATTTAAACTTTGTTAGCTATAAGTGTTGTCCCCTAATCTGAATTTTGGTGGTCTGATGTGCCCGTTTTCGTCTCACCTCAAGTGTGTGAATGAGTGTGTGGTTCCTTGAAGTAAAGCATTTTGAGAGCCCATGGAGGTAGAAAAGAGGTTGTGTCATACCTCTAGATACATCCACTTGTTTATGCTTTTTTTTTTTTTTTTTGCTTATTTCTTCTGTGATCACCATAACAACGCAGTGAGCATGTTTTTTGCTATACTTTCCTCTTGATGCAAAGTGGTAGCTGAGCAGACTTGTCAAAACTTGTTAAAACTGTTTAAAAACCTGTCTTCCAATGAGGTGCATATCAAAATGACATTAAAGATTATAAAATAACAAATGTTGTAGAAGCTGAACAGTAAAAAGTGTGACTTTTATTGCTCCCACATCTGTGTGCATTTGTATTGCCAGAGTCTGTGGATTTGTCTCTCCTCCTATCAGCTTTCAAGGTGATCTATGTATTGTAGTTATTTATCTTTCAGATGGAGGATCTATCTATACATAAGGGGCACAATGAGCCAATTACACACATACACACACACACACACAGGCGCAAAAAGGCACACCAAATGAGAAACACATTGACTGTTTTGGTCTTGTGCTCGCTCTTTGCATGAGTTATTCTCTTGAGTCAGCCCATCCTCTTTTTTACAGTCTTCTATTTTAAACTCAGTTTTCTCAAAATCCTTCATTCCTACTTTCAAGTTCTGTTCTGTTCTTCTGACCTATGGTTCTTCAAGTCCTACCACTTGGAAGTTGGCAGCAACAGAACAGAAATGATCCCATTGTGGTGATTATGATACCTTCAGTGGGGTGGCATATGCGTGAACATATTGAACATGCCAATGAGCATCAGTCATGTTGTGTAGGTTTTTAAACATTTGCATGTGTGTGTGTGGAGGGGGATGTGGACAAACTGGGCACAAAGCAGCAACAAAGACTGTAATCATGAGTGAAGTCATCGCTGTGCTCTTGTCAGAGTGATAGGGCCCAGTGTGCGTGCTCTCTGACAGAAGAGAGGCGAGTGAATGACTTTGACCCAGTGCAAATGATCAGTTCCATACATCATATTTTCCACTTTTCTACAGAATGCAGATCTGCTAATCTGGCACAAAAGCCAGACTCACTCCCTTACCACACATTCTGACCAGCACGTCATAAATTTATAAAAACAGAGCTAGGTCAGAAGTTTCTCTCAATAAATGTATCAGGACTGATCCAACTGGTGTTGGCAACTGAGACCTACTTTTCTGGTACACAGAGGAAGAACCGTATGCAGTGTGTAATGTCTACAACATTTATATCCTCAAACTGCTCTGACCTGCTATGTATGCTTGTAAGCTCCTTCTCTCATGGCACCAATACATAAGATGGCCTTTGGAATATTTGAGTGGAAAAAGTCTAAATCATTGTCTTTTTCCATCTTTGGAATGGTAACCAGCGCCTTGCATACTCTGGGGTGTCTTTTGAGTCGCCTTTTTGAAACAACTGTAAAATTACTGCAAACATAAATGCAAAATAAGCCCTAACTCTGCTGTGGATTAATGGATTTCTACTGATGTTGAGAGAAAAACTGGAAAAAAAAGGCCTGGCGCTGCCATGTACAAGTGAAGGGATAGCAAAGCTTTCATCCTCATGCTCATCAGTGACACCCTTTTCCACCTGTATGGGGCCGTGAGTTGGTGTGTAACTGATATTGAGTAAGAACCAAAAAGAGAAAATGAACAAACCAAGTACAGGGTAACAACAAAATGAGAA